TTTCTTCAGGACAAACTCCCCTCTAAGACTGAAACTCAAAGGGAACACACAAACAGGCATGTAAGCTTGCTGGTGACCACATTGGTCTACTGATGAATGGAAGAGGTGGAAAGGCAGCAATAAAGAAATGGGCTGAGTCTGTTGACTCCCGTTGACCTGAAGATAAGAGAGAGAAGAGGAAGTTTAGTTTAAGAGTGTGGGGAGAAGAAAGAGTCCCCACTGAATAGTTCTCATCTTGTCTAGATGGGTCTGATGAAAAGAGATGGGGATAAGATTCGTATGATTCAATAGTGAATAATTGTTATCATGACTAATTGTGACTGTCACAAATGTAAAGGTAGAAGCTCTGTAACAAAAACAGGGAAGTGGTTAATCTTACAGTCCAGAAACAGAGGATCCTAGGACCATTAAGGGAGAAGCACACAAGCGGAATGCAGGACCTTATCCAGAGAAGCAGCGACGCCAGAGACGGAGGCAGAGATTGGGTCATGGAGACGGGTAGCAGCTGAGGATTCTAGATTTATGAGAAGAGAGGGACTAAGAGCTGATGGCCAAGAGGCAGACTTGCAGAATGTGCCCTTTGGAAGTGTAAATTATTATATATGCCTGATTGTTGTTTTTTTAAAAAAAATCTAAAGTGAATAGAGAGAATTACTGTTAACTGATGGTACATGGAGGGGATTATAATCATTGTAATGAAACAAGGTGTTTGATTTGTTGAATGTAAAACTGATGATCTGCCCTGTAAACTTTCACTCAATCCACAATAAAAACTTTAAAAAAAAAAAAAAAAAAAAGGCCTTAACAGAAAGAAGTCTGCACAGTGTATGAGATGAGCAGCTCCTTCACCTATTACATGGAGACCCCCTCTGGATTTGTTGTGAGGAGCAACTGAAATAACAGAAATGAAAATTCCTTTAAACATGATAAAGAACTATTCAGATAGAGCAGTTTGACAAGAATGATAATGAATTGAAGATAAATTAAAGCTCATCCATTAAGCGATAGCATGGAATTACCACAATCACTTAATCAAGTGCACAGTTTATGTTTATTGAACAAATGTGCCATCCTGGTTCAGGGTTTACAGAATCAAAATGGATCAAGGACGTCACTGAGGTTGGTCATTTGAAATATCCTATCCTGGCACATAACAACAACAATCCTGGTGTGCAGCTCTGGTAGCGTAGTGGTTACGAATTGCGCTGCAAACCTCAGGATCAGCAGTTCGAAACTACCAGCTGTTCCGAGGGAGAAAGATGAGGCTTTCTACTCCTGTAAAGATTTACAGCCTCAGAAACCCTGTACAGGGTTGCTATGAGTCGGAACTGACTCCATGGCACATAACAACAACAACGACATCCTGGTGTGGCTCTGTGGGTTAGTGTGCTGGACTGCAAGGTTGGTGGTTCAAACTCACCAGCTGCTCCTCAGAAGCTCTATACAGCACTTAACAACATCGCTACAGAAGCACTCTGTTTCTTGATTTTATTGTTGTTGTTAAGTTAAGCTGTCCAGTCAGCTTCAACTCATAGAGACCTTGTATAGGGTTTCTGAGGAGTGGCTGGTGGCTTTGAACCACCAACCTTGCAGATAGCAGTCCAGTGCTTATCCTACAGTGTCACACCAGGACTTAATTCTATAACTTTATTGTCAGATATTAAATTCAATAGCAGGGCGACTAACATTTACCCAGGCTACAATGTAAGAGGTTTTGTGTTTCAAAATCTATAAGGTTAAGGTGCATACCCAAAAACAATAAGTATAGGACAGCCTTTTGTTTCATGGATTCTTTATTCAAATTAGATTATTCAACTTTCCCAGCACAATTCACTCCAAAACTCAAGAAATGGCAAGTCATCAGATAGATACAGAGCAAATTAGATGAGCTATGTTGAGCTTTTTTCCAACTAGGGCAGGTATTTAGCCCTGGTTGGAGATATTCTAATATGAAAGCTTTCTCATTACTCAGTGATATATCAGAAACAGCTTATTTGAGTCCCGAACTGTCAGAATTTTAGAGCTGAAAACATATAGTTTGATGCATCTCCAGGAGAATGGCACTATACTCCCAGAAATTATTTTGGAAATCCGTGAGGGTGTCTTTTAATCCTGTATTATTGGGACATCCTTCTGCCATTTAGAGGACAATGACCATGGTTGCTAAGACATCCAACAAGGCACAGGGCAGACTTGAACTTTTCCCTATCTCATGGGACTTTCAAATATCTTACTGACATACATATAAACTAAAAAAACACCTGTTAATTATCTGAGCCTAGAACCTAATAGCATTTAATATAAAACACAAAGTTATATGTCACATGGTTTTAATATACACTGAATTTTCCAGAAATGCAATTATTTGTGTAAATCAAGGCAAAACTCTATGTATTTTCTTCCTTGAAATTTTACCAAGAGTGATCCACCATTTCCCAAAATCCTATTCAATGACAACACTTTGCAATTTATGTTGCCAATTCAACAACACACTTTGGTCTGTATTTGTAGCTGGTGATTCTACCACAGGCACAAACATCTGATTACTTAAGCTTATTTTCTAGGGTGGTTATACCCAAGCTTTTGTATTGAAATACATTTAATTTTGTTAAAAATTGTTTTCCTTTTTCAGCTTTATTGTAGAGCTAGGGCACTGTACTCATATTTAAAATTATATATGCATATAGATCATATTTATTTAATATATAATACTTAACAACAACATAGATCATATTAACTTTACATTACATTTCAGATCATCCACAATAAAATATTTGTTATCAAAGGGCATATGGAGTCTGGGAGGATCAAGAGAACCTTTCATCTCATCCAGTCTCCTCACTCTCTAGTGAAGAAATGGACTCAGGTGAAGTAACTTGCACAAGGCCACAAAACATAGCCTCGAAGTGATGACTACATAAATGTGCTAACAGAGAGAAAAATGAACGTCACGTTTCAGAATGAGTTGGTGACCATTAGATTCAAGGGGCAAGACCTGAGCTGATCTCTCTCCATTTCTCCTGCCCAGCACAAGGGGCAAGGTGCCTGTATTATTTTCACTGGATTTAACACTGAGTGTTTGCAACTTGAGTTATGGCCCACTCAGAGCTTTCCTCTGAAAGACATATGAATAAAATAATCATTTGTGAAGCTTGTGTTTAAGGCTACCTTTATAATAAAACAGGGTAAAAAGGGCATTATCTCAAGAAAGCACTGCTCCATTATTATCTTGATCTTGAACTTCCAACAGCCCTTCACTGTTGAAAGACCACTGTTGAAAGTGAAGAAATCAAAGGATATGCAATGCATTTTAGATCAACAAATGGTGCCCCTAGTTTTAGGCCTTAAATTTAGTTGTTTTTAATTAGATAAAGTTTATATAATGTGTAGATTTGCAAACAACTAGGTAGAACAGATAAAGAGTAGGTCCCAGGTAGGTTTATATTTAACATGTATATTAAAATAATAGGTAACAATGCAGAAGATAACCATGATTAACAACTACCTCAAAGATGGCTTCTACTCATATCATTGTTTTGCATTCTTGAAGCAAGGAAAATTTTTCACCTACCTTGGCTTCAACATAAGGTACTCAACTAAGCCAAACTAGGGGCTCCAAAGGTAACAGAAAAGCAAGACAAATATATCCTCTTAAATCATCATCTTTCTAGATAGAGCCTTAAATCGCTGCTACTGGAACAAGGTCCCCAACCTGAAATAAGGGCTGTCATCCAACTCTTAAAAACAAATACATTAAAGCATTCTATATTGTTTTTAAAATAAAGCTAATACCAACATTCATGATCAGTCTGTGAACTAAATTGACTTGTATTGTCTTTTGGACTCTGTGGAGTTAAGATTTTCCACTTTTGTTCAGATCGTTTGCTCTAAAGCAGCCCCGTCTTTCAGAATGGAAATCTTGAGCCTGTATAATGGACTTGGTTTCAAATGAATGTGATCCTAAACGCCTATGTAATCATTTTTATCAAATCAATGGAATTTGTATCTATAAAATAAAGTAAAATGCAATGTCTAAAGTTACAAACACGCTTAGCCAAAACATTTAACTCTCTGTGTGGAATGATACACAGAACCGCCTTTTCACATTATGTTAAGTGAGGTCTGAGGCAGACACCCGAGGCAGATGCAGGGGGAGAGTAGATTACTGAAGATGTTCATTCTGTGGCACAGGAACATGACTGGTCATTCTAAAACCCTACAAAGAAAGTAAACAATTTATTATTATGGTGATTTCCCTAGAATTGATTTGGAAAGGGGCACTGGTGGCATTGTGAGATAGGGTTGGGATGCTAACCACAAAGCCAGCAGTTTGAATCCACCAGCCCTCCAGGAGAAAGATGAGGCTGTCTGCTTCCATAAAGACTTACAGCCTTGGACACACTATACAGGGTGGCTATGAGTCAGAAACAACTCCACAACATATAACAACAACAAATTAAAGAAGGGAGTTCATCTAGGTTTATAGCAATAAAAACTCTATTGGAAGCACCTCCTATGTAACCTATGAACTTGGAAGATAATTGCTAGAGTAACATTGTTGTTGTTAAGTGCCCTAGAGTCGGTTCCGACCCATAGCGACCCTATACAGGGTTTCCGAGGGTGTAAATCTTTACGGGAGTAGAAAGCCTCATCTTTCTCCCGCGGAGCAGCTGGTAGTTTCGAACCGCTGACCTTAAGGTTCGCAGCCCAATTCATAACCAACATTATTGTTGTTAAATGCCATCAAGTTGGTTCCAACTCACAGTCACCCTGTATAGGGTTTCCAAGGAGTGAATGGTGGGTTTGAACTGTTGACCTTGATATTCAAACCAACCTTGAAGTCAAATGCTTATCCTACAATACCATTAGTGAAAGACAAACTAAAAGCTTGAGGTGGAGGGAAAAAATGTTCCATAGAAAGCAAAACATTCATTTTTTGCCCAACGCTGAGTACTAAAATGAGTATTAAAAAGCAGAAGGCATGATCCAGCTAAAAGATTTCACTTACTGGGCAATCCACACCTTATTGGAGAAGGACTCCGACTTCGAGACAACTGGAAAATATAAAGGTGTAATGTGAGTTACACAATAAATGGAGTTCAATGGCTGAAACTATCGGACATAGCTTTTCTCCTAACACCAGCTCTGGTAGCGTAGTGGTTACGAATCGGGCTGTGAACCTTAAGGCCAGCAGTTCGAAACTACCAGCTGCTCCTTGGGAGAAAGATAAGGCATTCTGCTCCCGTAAAGATTTATAGCCTCGGAAACCCTGTACAGGGTCACTATGGGTCAGAACCGACTCGACGGCACTTAACAAAAACAACAAAGGCACTTTAGAACTGTGCTTCCTCCTCTTGTTCACAAATCTGGCCATTGGGATTCCTATTGTACAAACAAATGCACTCACTTTAGTTTAAATTATATTGTTGTTGTTGTTGTCAGGTGCCGTCGAGTCGGAACCGACTCATAGCGACCCCATGCACAGCAGAACGAAACAATGTTCGATCCTGGGCCAACCTCACTACCGCTGCCACACTTGAGTCCATCAATGATGCCACCTGGCTGATATTATTCACTAAATATTCGGCTCGATGACCTAAGAGGAGCTATGCTGAAACCAACATTTTCCAGAAAATCATAATTATTATGATTACTAGAATAATTCATTAATTAAAGCTAAAGTTATAATATAATCTCTGGAAGACCCTTTATATATGCTTTATCTCATGAGTTCAAAACTCTGCCCTATTAGGGAACACCACACCCAAAAAAATATGTGTCAGCTTGGTTGCTATGATTCTCAGTGGTTTGACAGCTACTTAATGACGTAACCTGGCAGTTATGCAATGGCCTCCATGATGTGATCTGATGTGACGCACCAATAAGAGGATTAAGGGTGGGATGTAATACCCTTAATCTCATCACAGGCCCGACCTGATGTAAGGAGAGTTTCCCTGGGATGGGGTCTGCAACATGTATTTTCTTTCAAGAGATGATAAGAGAGAAATGACAGCAGAGATCACAGGGACCTAGAAACAAAAGCGAGGAGTGGAATGTGTCCTTTGGGCCTGGGGTCCCTGCACTGTGAAGCTCCTAGCCACAGGGAGATCTTCAAGGAATGGTAGGGCTACAGATGTTGGAAGGAGACAAGGACCTTTCATCAGGGCTGACAGAAAGAGTCAGCACTCTAAATTTGGACTTCTAGCCTCATAAACTGTCAAAGAATAAATTTGTTTGTTATGGTATTTCTATTTTGTTGTCGTTGTTAGGTGCCATGCAGTCAATTCTGACTAAAAGCGACCTTATGCACAACAGAATGAAATACTGCCCGGTCCAGCACCAATCGTTGCTATATTTGAGTCCACTGCTGTTGCCACTGTGCCAATCCATCTCATTGGGGTCTTCTGTTTTGCTGACCTTTCACTTTACCTAATATGATGTCCGTCTCCACAGACTGATCCTTCCTGACAATATGTCTGAACTGTGAGAGACGAAGTCTCACCATCCTGGCTTCCAAGGAGCATTCTGGTTGTACTTCTTCCAACACACAGATTTGTTTGTTCTTTTAGCAGCCCCTGGTACTTTTAATATTCTTCTCCAACACCATAACTCAAATATATAGATTCTTGTATGGTCTTCCATATTCACTGTCTAACTTTCACATACTATTGAGAATACTATGGCTTGGGTCAGGTGCACCTTAGTCCTCAAACTGACATCTTTGCTCATCGACACTTTAAAGAGGTTTTGGGCGGCGGATTTGCCTAATGCAATACATTGTTTGATTTCTTGACTACTGTTTCCATGACTGTTGATGGTGGAGCCAAGCAAAATGAAGTTTTTGACAACTTCAATCTCATCTGCATTTGTTATGATGTTATTTATTGCTCCAGTGATGAGGATTTTTGTGTTTTTCATACTGAAGGCTGTGGTCTCTGATCTTCATCAATAAGTATTTTAAGTCCTCTTCACTTTTAGCAAGCAAGGTTGTATCATCTGTACATCACAGGTTGTTAATGAGTTTATCTCCAATCCTGATGCCATATTCTTCTTCATATAACCGAACTTCTCAGATTATTTGTTTAGCATACAGGCTAAATAAGTATGGTGAAAGAATACAACCCTGGCACACACCTTTCCTGATTTTAAACCAGCAGTGTTCCCTTGTTCTGTTTGAATGACTGACTACCTCATGGTCTATGAACTAGTTTCTCATTTCTATTAATCAGCTCTAAATTACTAAAACAGTAACCCAGTAGGCAGCTAGAGAAGAATCACTGTTCAATTGTCACCTTTACTTTCACTAATCACAAGGTCGGCTGTTCAAGCTCACCAGCCATTCCTCAGAAACCCTATACAGGGTAGCTATGGGTTGGAACTGACTTGAAGGCACTTATCAGCAAAAACAGTGGTGCCAAATGGGTTGGTGAAACTTACTAAGACAAAGTAGGGAGAAAAGGCTGGTGATCTATGTCTGAAAAAGAGCCCAGGGAAAGCCTATGATCACAACAGTCTGATCTGCAAACCAATCAATCATAGGATCAGACAGCATTTCATTCATGTGTTCAGTTGTACGTTGACAACTCCACAGCAGCTCAGGACAGCAACAACAAACTTCGTAAGGAGATGGATCAGATTAACTGTAGGGGTTTTCTGTACTTTCTTTGTATTTTGCTGAGAGGTCTCGCAAGTTTAGGACTACAGCTGCATTGCTAGAAACAATTTTGGAGCAGAGGCGCATTGCCTGATATGGCTCTCCTCCACCATCCTCCCTCTCTTCTAAAACAAGATTGAAGACATCTTCTCTGATCACAACACTATAAAACTAAAAGCCAATAGCACAAAGAACAAGGGGAGAATTACAGGGAAACAGAATAATACCTCACTTGAAAAACTACTGGGTAACAGAAAAAATTAAAAATGAAATTTAAAACTTCATAAAATCAAATGAGAATGAAAATAGAACATACTAAAACTCTGGGGACATGATATACAGGAGTATTTATAGCAGTAAATGTACACATCAAAAAAGGACCAAAATTAATCAACCCCATAGTCACCAGAAGAAAGAACAAAATATCAGAGCAAAAAAAAAGAAATAGAAAAGAGAAAAATACAACAGAAAGAATCAACAAGAGTAGAAGTTGGTTCTTTGAGAATATCAATAAAACCAACAAACCACTGACCATATTGACAAAGAAAACTAAAATGAGAAAATACAAATAACCTAAATAACAGAACCAGCTAAGATAAAAGATTATGAAAAATTGTATTCTGGCAACTAAGATAAAAGGATCGATCCTAAGAACATGAAAAATTGAAAAGCTAGAAGAAACTGGCAAATTTCTAGAAACATACTACCTACCTAAACTAACACAAAGGCAGAAAACCTAAATAGGCTCATAATAAAAGAAATAATTGAAAATGTCATTTAAAAAAAAACAAAAAAAAAACCTCCCAACTAACAACAACAAAAAAGATCCCAGCACAGAGGGCTTCAATGGAGAGCTGACACCACTTCGACTCAGATGTCTCAGGAATATAGACAAGGAAAGAATACTCCTTATTTCATTCTATGAAGTCAGCCAATCTTGGTAGCAAACTAGGCAAAGATATTCTGTAAAAAAATTTAAAAAATAAAAATTACAGATGAATAGCCCGCAAGAATTTCAATGCAAAAGTTTTCAACAGAATTCTAGCCAACAGAATTCAACAAAATATCAAATAACAATATGTCATTATAAGGTGGGATTCATATCTGCTGATCTTTGACAAAGTTTACAAGTCCATTTAAAAGAGAAAAGATCATCGCTTAAACAAAATGGGGTTGGTAAAACTGGATTTCCATTTGCAGAAAAAATTAAAAGGACCCATACTTCACAAGAATATCAACTTGAAAAAACAGTAAATTTCTAGTCTGTCTTGTGCCCACCTGTCTTGATCCAAAAAGCCAATGACTAAATATTGATTGAATCAATGAACAATGATGAATCATAGTTTTCAGGAATGCTATCTTCATAATTTTCAGAAATGTTTTCCCTGTTGTTAATATTTTTGACAAATTATTAATAAATCTTCCAAGAACTAATAAGCAAATAGACTAAGCATCATACTTTGAAGTTGGAGGGAAAAAATCGTACCTACAATGCCCTTTATAAAGTATTTAAATCTAGATGACCTGAGCAGTTTCTCCAAACTTTCCTAGAGGAAAACTAGCCTTTTGACTAAAACATCCCTTTCTCTCTTCAGAAGACTATGTAAACTCTAGTAGCTGCTTTTTTGTTTTTCAAAGATAAAAATTAAACTATGAAGTAAGTAAAAGTCTAAGAAAATTAAAAGAACCCATGCATCCTTCTTTCTAGAAATGATATATTCCTTGACCCACAGTGGTATAAAAAATCTATTTGGAGACTAAGAAAAAGACTAAGACCCACAGTGGTATAAAAAATCTATTTGGAGACTAAAGGTGGGGTAGGGGGAATTCTTTGTTGATTGCTGGGAAGTTGGTGGTGGGTGAGGGGAGGGAGGGGAAGGTGGAGCACAGGGTAGGGATTAGACACAGGAAAGTTTGGGTGCTGGGGATGGGGGCATTATACAAGGAGGGAGAGGGAAA